GTTATTCAGAACAGTTCAAGTCGTAGCTCCGCCTTGCACAGTAGAGCTGTGTGACACGGTGTCAGATTCCTTCGCACTTTCAACACGTGGTCGACGGCGCCAAGATAAAGACTTGGCACCGTTTAGGCGACGTGCGATGTACAGGCCAATAGGCCAACATGGGTCCATATTTAGGGCCTATCAGGACAGCCAGGGCCGGCTGTTGACATTGCCACAAATTCAAAAGGCAGAGGTATGAAAAGCGTGTGCGACTGCAGCGTGGCCGCATGAAGCGCAAGGTCAGAAACAACTCAAATAAACTCGAGAAAGGACAGAAAGGAAAAGAAGACAAAGACAGCCTTGCACCGCCCGCCTTGGTGTTTTGGTGGCAGTTTGTTAGCGGCCCAGAGGTCGGGCATGGGTTTCAATCTTTGGATGATTAATGATGATTAGATTGTTGCATTCTAAAGCCCAAGCTAGCAAAGACCCGATATTTGCAGCCTGAACATGCTGAAGTCATGGACATCAGTTCCGAGGCACTGCGTTTGCAACTTCTTCGAGTGCACACATAGCCCAACCAACCACGCATGTCCCACTTGAGAAGTAGCACACGGCAGTTCTTGTCATTTAGTTGGAATGCATCACTACGCGCTCGTGCCACGATACAGGACAGGCGAAAAAAACGTTTTTGCGGCTTACGTTTTGCAGACTTTCGGGATACTTTTAGGATATTATCCGTTCTTCTTCACTCCCTGCTCTTCTCCTTTTTCGCGGCACACCCTGAGCTTCTTTGAGCTGGCGACCGCACACATACACAGACCGACGCAGAAAGCGCGCGCGGTGCGTGGATCAGGAGCCGGAGCAGAGGGCGCGCTGAGCAACACCGACTGCATTTTGTGGCAGACAATCTGGGAAAGCGGACAGCGAAAGGACATGTTTCGAATCGGCCTACAGAAAAAGAGCATGAAACGATTGAACAGAAGAAAACAAAAACAAAAGGAGAACAAATTGGAAGGCCTGGAAGGCCCTTGTTGGCTTTGTTTGCTGAGGTTGTGGTTCTTTTTTTCTCGTTGAATGCTGAGGTATCCTCCAAGCTACGGCCCAGGATACCCACCTCCAGGCTACGCACCTCCACCTCCAGCATCTTACCCTCCTCCGGGCTATCCACCTGAGAGGCACCCGCCAACTTATCCTCAATATGCTCCGCCACCAGACCCTTATGCAGTGCCTCCGCGTGACCCATATGCGCAGCCAAGGGATCCATATGCCCCACCACCACACGACCCCTACGCCCCACCACCACACGACCCCTATGCTCCGCCACCTCATGATCCTTATGCTCCGCCAAGAGATCCATATGCCCCTCCCCCTCCCAGCCGGTCACCAGGCTACCCACCACCCGGCTATCCACCGGCATATCCATATGCAGAGTATCCGCCACCTGCACCGGCGTATCCTCCCCATGGACCCCACGGGCCGCCACCAGGCTACCCTCCACCACACCACGGGCCCCCAGCGCCGCCGCACGGGCACCCGCCATATGCCTGTCCGCCAAACTACTATCCACCTCACCATCCTCACCCACCACACTACAGAACTCCCATGCCCGGGTACGGAGCATTGCGACCCAGGAGTCGCTCACCCAATCGTGCCTTGACATCTAGACGGAATTTGCCAATTGGTTTGAATTTTGAATCGACATGTTGATACATTTTGGTCCTGAGGCCGACTGATCCGAAGAATGATGATCAAGCGGCCAGAGAGGAAGGCGAAAGCAAAACCTAAGGCCAAAGCAAAACCTGAAAAGAAGGCGTGGAAGTAGTAACAGGGGCATCGCTACTAGTAGCTAAGGGCATTGCTACTAGTAGAAAGAACCTACTATATACTAATTTTTCACTTGGCACATGTTTGAATTCTGATTGCGTAAGGGAGCAGTCTATCTACTATAGAGAAGCCAAAACTGCAGCTCTAGATGGTTGACATGCCCGCGACAATGCGACGTCAAAACTTTACCAAATACTGTACCCACGAACTGTTTGGAACCTAGAATCGAAGTCTCGTGACGACTCAGAACCTTTCTAAGAAATGCCAAGACAGAGTATAGATCTACATACATGTACATACAATATATCATGCTACTGGGAACCCAAGTCTGCCGGAATTTGTGAGACACTGGAACTGTTGCTTCCTATTTTCCTTCTAGTGTTTGTTGATGACTTCATCATCGGAAGCCATAGGGGAGCGTCAATATCAAGTTCAAATAAGGGGGTTACCGAGTCCAATGACGATCGTTTCTTGTTCATCCATGTTCATTCGCGCTCGCAGCCGCTGCTTCAATATTGGTGGCCTTGAAGAAAGGTTGAAGACAGATTGAAGAAATCATCTTTTTTTGACCGTTTCCTTTGCAAGTGAGCTTTTGGACTTCTCAGGATACATCCCGAAGGTATTTCAACCTTTACTCTGAGTCAAGTGATCCGGCACTTGGCTCAAAGACCCAACCTGAGCACGACCCGCAGTTTTGGGTTCGCACCGAGCAGGCGGAGAAAGCCGGCGACCTGACGCCTCGGGAGCTCTCCGACATCAAGGAGGCCGAGGCCAAGGCCAAACGTGAAGCTCATCCCGAGGCGATGGGGATCCTGTCGGTAGAAAAACACCGAAGTAAAACAGATGTAAAACATATATTTAATATATATATATATAAATACAAACACTATTTTTTCATATACCGAGTATATATCCTCAGTTTTGAGGGGTTTGTGGGGGGGCCGTTGTCGATCTCGAGTCTCGAGGAAACAGGACATACTAGGACCCAGGACATTTGGCGTGTACTGGATAAGATTTCATATGATTCAGATCAGAAGGCCGAGGTTTCAGAACATGTTCCTATTTCATCCTTCCTTTCTTGGTTCGAGCCGAGATCGAGGCAACACGAGAAGAGAAACCTCTTCAGCTCTTGGTGGAAAGGGCATCAAACCCAAAGAGCTGGATCCCTTGCATCGAAGATAAACATTTGCGTTCTTGGAGCCTTGGAGAGCCGTCCGCCCGTTTCGAGAGTCAAAAGGACATCATGTATTCGTACGTAGTGTCCTAGTAGCGTCCGATCGCTCCGTTCGTAGCGATGCCCTTTGTTACTACTAGATTCTTGTTCCTAGTATTAATGCCAGGAGCTGCAAGTAAAACACATTTCATGACTCACTTTTTTTGAGGATGTACATGAGCCAAGAGAAAGGCGTGAGCTATGCTGACTTTGAGCAGCTCAAGGAGAAGGTCGAATGGACCGAAATCCATGGGGCTGCCGCCCTCACTCGGAAGACCATGTGGTTTGTAAAGAAGGGCTGCAGGCTGGGAAGTGTGGGTGAAGTGTGTGGGAAGTGTGGGAAGTATGCGGGTTGTGTGAAGAATTGTGACACTTTTACCCGCGGTGTTTGGCCTAACTGGCAGGTGCCCATACAGCTATGGGAAGCAGCAAGTCAGTGCAGTGACCTTCCCTGATTGGTTCCTGGATATGGCAAAGCGTTGGCTTAACTCTTTGAATCTCAACGATCAGGATTGCCATGGATTGCCTCCTTTACTAGTAGTAACAAGAAGCTATTAGATTGCCTCCTAGCTTCTAATTAATTTATATGCCTCCTTTACTACTAGCGAACATTGTTACTAGTAGCGGGATGCACTTGTTACTACTGGTAAGGCACTTGTTCCTAGAAGCGAAGAGTTGAGCTTTGCTGTTTTTTGTCGCGATGGCTAGGACAAAGACTCCACGTTTCCAAACTGTGTGAACCTGAACCTCTACGAGCATGGCGATCATCAGGTAGCTTGGCACTCCGACGATGAGCCATTATTCCGTGGCAAGTTTCAGGACAGGTTTATCGGGAGCATCGAGAAACTGAGCGCAAGATCATCAAGACATGTTAAGAGGCATTGAGGCTTGCAACTTTCATGGCTTGCCTCGAAAATCGCACACTCCGTGGCGCTTACCCACTAAAATGCTGCTCATTTACAGCCACTGCTGGTTATCACGGGTGCTTATGCATGTTTATGCTATACGTGTTCGCACCTGCGAAATAGAACATGCCGCCCGTGTCTGACCATCTCATTCGGTCACAGTATCAGGACACGCGGATCATCTCGGTGACCTTGGGTGCGATGCGGAAGTTTCAGGTCGGTCTCAAGGCCCCAAGACGAGGTCGGAGAGAGTTTGCGTTTCTTTTCGAAAACGGATGTCGGAGAGACACGGAGTATGTTGCTGCTTGTAGTTTATTTTCTTCTTTCGCTTCTAGCTGGTGCACGCAGGCGGGATATTGAAGCCAGAAAAGGGAAGTATGGCCACCTTCAACCTTGGACATGGGCAAGTTTGTACTATGGAAGGACCAGCCAGCCAGTCAATGAGAGCTTTTCGTGCTTGCGCCATCTTGTGCCAGTTCATGAATATGAACGCTAACAAACATTGGCATGTAACGTGCACGTTTTTTATATGTGTGCGTAAGGCTATAGAGATGTTCAAGTCAAAGCGGCTGACCTTAGATGTCCCAATGTGGTTGGTAGGCCTTTTCCAGAAGCACTACTTGCATCAGATCGCCAAGGGAACTACTCGGCAGGCGCGTATCAACGCGACCTTCCGCAACATTGTGGAGCATGCCGCTGGTTGCCCCTTGCGCTGAGACAAAAGATCCAGCTCGCAAATCGCGTGAAGCTTTGAGCTTTGACTGTAGATGGGACAGTCTCCCAACTGCACGACATTGCGTGGCCGAGAAGGGATGCTCGAAGCTTTTTGCAATTGCGGCTCCCCAGTGGCACTGCCACGTGGCGCAAGCGCTTGCACTCATCGAATCCGATGACATCCAATGACTTGATGTTTCCAAAGCGCAGAGCGTAGGTTCCAACGGTCGGAGGCGAGCGCGAAAAGATGAGTGAGATTGGTCACGTAGATTCGTTGGCGCAGTGGCGCAGTGGCGCAGCCATGCACCAAGCGCCTAACAGGTGTCTCAGATCTAATATTGATGCTACGCGCCATCACAACTAAGGCGCTTTGTCAAAGAACTGAAGCGAGACCAAAAACATCAACGAGCACATGCAGCTCCTTGACGACACAACATGTTGTAATTAGATCAATGTGACACGAAATTCTATGGTCCTAATGGATCCTTTGTCCTAGACGACGCTACTAGGAGCAAAGGGCATCGCTATTAGGAACAAGGACGCTACTAGGCGCTCCTGGCCTTACTACTAGGAACAAGGACGCTACTAGGAGTTTTTTCCTTTGTCCTTTCCGCTCGACTCGTTTCTTTGCGCTTTCCAGGCGGTTGAAGTGGCTTTGGCACAGTGGGAGAAAGGTGAATCCAAAGGCCTCATGGCCGGGTGCTTGGCGCATTTGACTCGGGATGCTTTTGAACGGACAAGATGAGGTTTAGATCAAACTTTACGTGGCTTCTATAATATTCTATACGGCAAGCTTCTATATTCTCAATGTTTTGCACTGGGCTTTCTGAGGCAACCGTGGTCAAAGATTGGCGCAAGTACACGGAGGCGACTGACTCCGAGGTTTCAAGAGGTTTCAACGCACCGCCGCCGAGTGTCAATTCAAGTACTGTAGATCCTACTAGGAACAAGAAGCTACTAGTAGCGATGCCCTTGTTAGATCCAAAGGTGTGACCCCGATGGATTGATTGAGGTCACCACCTCCAATGGGCGTCGCATCCGCGGTGCGGGGAAGCTCGAAGCAAACGCAAAACATGTCGAAACATGTCGGCCCTCAGAATTGAGTTCATGTTCTTAAGGGAAAGAAAGGCCCGTTGAGTTTGTACGACACTCAGGCAGGAACTTTGGAGGACCTTGAGCCTTCAACTTCCGTGAGTGCTTGACTTCGCTCATAGTCATAGCTTCTCTGGAATGGATTCTACGGACATCTGCGGATTCTTTTGCCATGGTATTGGTATTTGGTTTGTCATATTGGACACGAATTCAAGGAGAAACTCCTCCTTTCACTCCTGCAGCTGTGCCTTCACGGCTGGCTCCTGAGACGATGGGCGTGGTGAGTGCATAGAGACAGGTAAAGATGAGAGATTGGGAACCTTGGAGCCTCTTGGGGCCAAACAGATAACTTTTGGAAACATCAACAAGGCCTTGTTTGAGCGTGACCGTTCTAAGGCTGGCGAAAGATCTTGGAAGTTGAACGTGCCATGGAGCGCTCCAAGGTTCGCGACGTGTTTGCTTTGTAACCATGGTTGACCGTGTTTGCTTATGTTTCAATGTTCAATTGTTTGCCTGTTTGACCGTTTTTGCTGATCCTTCTTGCACAAAAATCAGAGTGAAAGCATGCTTATCAGCACAGGCGGTAACAAGGGCAAGTACAAAACGCAAAACCTTTTGCAGGACTCTTGATTTGGAGGCCATCGCTAGTAGGTTGGAGGCCATCGCTCTTAGGTTGGAGGCCATTGCTAGAAGGTTCTTGAGACGTTTTCGACTTGGTATAACCTGCGGACTACAAGTGCCACGCTAGTAGTAACAAGTGCCTTACTAGTAGTAACAAGAAGCTACTAGAAACAAGTGCCTTACTAGTAGTAACAATAAGAATTTAATTAGGTTGTCGCTTTGGCTGACTTTCTCAATCTACACCTGCGCGATGCACAGAAGGCACTGCGTGAAAGCTTGCGGCAGCAGAGGTCTGATCACAAATGAAAGTGACATGAAAGTGAGTTGGCACTTGTTACTAATAGCAAGCATTGTTACTACTAGTAAGGCACTTGTTACTAGTAGCGTGGCACTTGTTACTAATAGTTTCTTGTTACTAATAGCAAACATTGTTACTACTAGTAAGGCACTTGTTACTAGTAGCGATGCACTTGTTTCTAAGCAAAGAAAGCCATAAAAGGTTTTTTTTTTTATGCAGAGATCTAGCCATGAAAGTTTGCCAATCATCGTGCAGGGAGGAGCGGGAACAGACCGAGAACAACCTGTTGTTGAACTTGGCACGGACCTCAGACTGGCGTTTCCATTGGAGCTTGCCTTCCAGGTGATGTTTCTTTCAATTCCCAAATTGGCACCTTCACTTGATTGGAAAACCAATCACCCACCTTAAAGAATAATATCCCCCCTTGTTTTGCCGACTGGGAGCGCATCTTTTTCAGAGATGGTTGGAGAACCAACCTTCTCAGAGAAGAGGGCTAAGAGGTATGTACACTGGTCATGACAATGGAGGATCAAGGCCTTGAGGCACCTCGCCCTGACTTCTTCTGTCCTAATTAAGAATTCATTCTGCTAGACGCTGAGTCTGCTTACAGACGCTTCGCGTATCGTGAAATGAAATGAAACCTTCAAACGCCTTCATTGTGGTTGCATGTTTGGTCTTTTTTCCAATCACAAATCAGAAGAGGAGTGGAGCCGATGTAAAACTGATGTGCAACCGATGGAGCGGTAGTAAGGGATTGTGCCACACCAAGCTCCGCTGGAGGCGATGGCCGTGTGGCAGCTGTGCGTGATGGAGCCCAAGAAAGACCAGGTTCACCCTGTGTCGCATGGCGCGTGGCGACCGCGACCAGACGCATTTTGAGTCGACTTGACGGCAGGTTTTCTAAAAATGGAAGTTCCCATTTGCTCCTGCCTTCACTCCTGCAGGCCTTCCAGCAACTCACAGAAACCAATGCCATCGCCTTCCAGCTCCAGGAAGCCTGCCAGGTCTACTCGCAGGAGCAGCACATGACCAACCTTGAACGATTACTTTGCATAGCTGTTATGTTTGCATAGCTGTTTTGTTTTCCTGCAGAATGCCGCATTGACACGTGGCACTGAGGAGAATGAGACACTTCAGGAGCGCTTGAAGCAGGTCCAAACGCTTGTTTAGCTTCTGCATTTGCAGTGCATTCACTTACCTTTCTCGTTTTGTCTACTGTTTTGGGTCTAGAAGGACTGGACTGGGACTCGGTTTTGCAATGAGGGTGTCGTCACTCTCATTATGTGTATACAAAGTCGAATGTGCCGACAATGCCAACGGCTCCAGGTCATGGAAACTCTTCAGCGTGAGCTGCAAACAAAGGAGGAGAAGTGGAGCATCGAGCAACGGGTTTGGCTTTGCACATCACGAAAGCGGGATGAGCTTTGTGCCCTAAAGCTTGATATATCACGCTTAGGCCCCGCGGGGACACATGGGAGATCCTGTTGTGAAAACTACCTGACTTCAGATGATGCATATGATATGCATATGTCATCCTTGACCCAAGAAACATGAAATAATATTGAAACGAAGGTGTCCGTCAGAGGTCCTTCTTGCGTGGTTTGAGAAGGTTTTTCAGACACCTGCTTCAAGACGCCGATGTATATATATATATATACACAAACCCCACAGTGTTGATCTGGTGCTGCTGGTTTGCTGCTGGTGTGCTGTTTGATTGCTGACGTACTATATTTTGCTGGTTTTGCTTGCTGGAAGCAAGCTTAGGGCAATGCGTTGCGGACTTTGGTCGCAGTAATTATGTGCTGCTGCTGGTGTTCCCGGTCTACTTACTGCTGATCTGCTGGTGCTTTGCTGCTGATCCGCTGCTGTTGTGCTTGCGTTTGACTGTATCGCGGCTAGCTTTCGACCCCTTCCCCTGGCCTCAAGTACATATTTTCTCATTTATTTGTTCAATACTGGTACAGGGTCGGCCAAGACCTCTAGAGCCAGCTGGCCTGAATGCAATGAGTTTGCTCAGGAGCTGGCCAAAGAGCTTCGTGACGCTTACAGCAAGCAGGAGCCGAGAGCGGCCCGGAGCCGCTGAAAGCTATTCAGCTGAGTGGCTGGAGAGCTGAGAACAAGTCTGACCGACCCTGTTTTACATAAAGTTTGCTGTTTGCAGATGTCAAAGAAGCCGAAACATGGTAGCACTTTGTGTATTTTGCGTTCGCCTACTCGTTTAAGAGGGACATAGGGAAATCCACTTATCTCTTTGAATCCACGACTCGCTCCATGCAGGCTCGGCTTTCGCCTATGCTCCCTGAGTTGCCGCTCGGAATTGATTAGCTCACGCTTTTACATCTGCACCACTACCAACCTACAATTTAAATTTGCTATGCTTTTGTGATTTTCGCCTGCATGTTTGTGAGTTGCTATGCCCAGCACGCGAGGCCTGAAGGAATTGTTGGGACCTTAGGAATCACAACATGCTGGCAAACGCACTGGGCACAACCAGCTTCGACTAGCCTAACTTGAAATTCTTCCCAGTCTTTATCTGATAGACTTCTACTTCGACTTGCTGATAGTCCAAGAGACTTTGAGAGACTGGACTTGCTCAATTTGTATCCATTCTCTGTGCACTCATTCTCATCATTTGTCGTTGCTTGACCCCATCGAGGTGCAAAACCGGGGCGCAGCATCACATGCTCAAGCCCTTGAAGATGTCGCTGCTTCGGTTGCCTCCGGAAAGAAGAAAAGTAAGGCTTTGCGCATGGTGCATAAAGTGCATCTGCTGTTTGCTGTTTTCAGTATCAAGCCCTTTCTGGAATTCTGTGTTTTCTTAGTTTTCTCATTGTCGAAAGTGTCATTTTGGGACGTGTTTGTGTCTTCAGGCGTCACCGCGAGGGACGCCCCGCAACGGACTCAGTGAGTGGCGAAAGACGTCGAAGGACAAAGCCGCTCAAATTTTGAGAAAGAAGATCTTAGCGATGCCCTTGGTTCCTAGTAGCGATGCCAGGAGCCCCTAGTAGCGTCCTTTGCTCCTAGTAGCGATGCCCTTTCTACATGAAGTGGCTTTCGCATGCTTTCGCCAAGGCCGCTCCAACGGCATAGGGCCACGAGACTCAGAGGGAATGTTGGTCCGACAACAGTCAACGACCACTGGTGGGACAATGGGAGGGTAAATAATTATGTAGTAAATTGTAGTGATCAATCAGGGTGTGTAAAGAGCGTTGAGAGAGGCCGGGATTCGTTGATTTTGACGTCAACGCGATGAATCCTTCAACTGGGCCCCTTGGGTCCCTCTCGACGTGTCACGACCCGTTTGTCTGTTCGAGACACTGCGACTGGGACACGGCTGTGCCACGGATGGAGGAGATGTATGGAGCCCCAGTGCGAGTCGGCTCCAAGAGAAAGGCCGACCACCCCCTCTTCACTGAATTATATAAGTAGGGCGCAGGATAGCTCCTTGAAGAAGCGCTCACACTGATGATTTGGTTCCTAGATTTTTGGCGAGGTCTGACAGTCTGACAAGGCTTTGGCTAATGAAAGATTACCTACTAGCGATGGCCTCCACCCTACTACCGATGGCCTCCAACCTTCTTTTAAACAGAACGATCTTTCCAAGGAAGTGTAACTACAGGAGGGTCCATGCCGAGAGCACGACGCATCCGCTGTCACTCGTGCAACCTGACAAGGCCAAGGCTTTGGCTCAAAATTTGCCTGCTAGCGCGCCTACCAGCCCAGATGACACATATTGATACATATGGTATTTGCTCTTCAACATGCACAGGCACATAATTCAAGACGGTTTCCAATACACTATATGTCGAACCATCAACACCGCAAGTGGGGCTAGAAGATAATGAGATGCCGGCGAATCTTCAAGACCTTTGATCAAAGCTCGCAAACACGTTTTCTAGCGTCTTGCTGATCTGTGGCGTGAAGCATGGTGAGACATGAGACATGTTTGCGCTACGAGCTTGCAGCTCAAGCCTTGACCTTGAGAGCGAATCTCAGGCAGAATGTTCCTTTTCTGTCGCTTCTCCGCTGCTAAAACTCACTAGGGGCTCCTGCCCCTACTACTAGGAGCAAGGACGCTACTAGGGGCTCCTGGCCTTACTACTAGGAGCAAGGACGCTACTAGGGGCTCAGGACGCTACTAGGGGCTCCTGGCATTGCTACTAGGAGCAAGGACGCTACTGGAGGCTCCTGGCCTTACTACTTCCTGGCCTTACTACTAGGAGCAAGGACGCTACTAGGCATACTAGGCATAGTGTGCCCCACTCGAACTCGAACTGGTTCCCCCCCCCAGGGTGTCAACATTTTCATCGATTCGAGTTCGAATTCGAACTAATGCTACGTTGTAATGGCTCCTTCCTATTCTAAATTTCACCCTCGAATGGCCCACAACAGGAATGCTACGTTGTAATGGCTCCTTCCTATTCTAAATTTCACCCTCGAATGGCCCACAACAGGAATGCTACGTTGTAGTGGCTCCTTCCTGCTCTAAATTTTACCCTCGGGTGGCCCACAAAGGTTGGGGGGGGGCGCAGCGCCCCCTCCAGCAGCACACCAGGTCCCAATAAAACAAGTGTTAGCTGCAAAGATGAGACTGCGCAGCGCGGATACTTTCAACAGGTTGATTGCTTTGTTGCTAGCTTGGTTGGTTCCTGTGCTTCTTTGTTGTGGGTCGTGGCGATTGCTGTTGTGGTTGTTGTCGTTGCTGTTGGTTCTCGTTGCTGTTGTTGTGGGTCGATCCGAACTCGAACCCCCTTATAATTATAAGTCCCTTAGTCGCCGATCTGAACTCGAACTCGAACTGGTCCACCCCCCTCTCGCTCGATCCACGCAATCTTGCGCATCGAACTCGATCCCGAACTCGACTCCCGAACTCGAACGGGATCCGTTAGAACCACCTGGGGCACGGCCTGCTACTAGGGCTGGCATCGCTACTAGGAGCGAGCACGCTACTAGGGGCTCCTGGCCTGACTACTGGGAGCACGGACGCTACTACGGGCTCCTGGCATCGCTACTAGGAACAAGGACGCTACTAAACTCACATTACATTGATTTGTTTGTTGTGGATGCACAACTCTCTGATGCTCTGCGCAGGAGGAGAGCCAGAACTGCCGGAGTCAAGCGGCAGGGCCAGGCAAGGAGAGACAAGGAGACAAGAGGTACTCGTATGAGGAGAAATGAGGAAAATGAAGAAATGAATAGGGGTGCCCTCCAACCTACTAGCGATGGAATTCATGATGAAATCAATGGAAGTGACGCTACTTCTTCCTTGAAGTCGTACCTCGTGCAAGATGACCTCCTCGGTGAGTAAGCCAGAAAGCACTGTATTCCGATCATGTCCGTTCCAATCGGAAGTATACAGTAGCACTGTCAGGATGTCAGAGGTGCCACGAAATGCTCCCGCTTGAACTTTTAAGAGCACAAGCATAGTGCTGTCAACAGCTGTGGCTGCTTTCTCCAGCGAAGGCTCCAAGACAGCCCGTGGACGTGCTCAAAATGACAAGGCAAGGCGAGAAAGGGTAAAGGATCTCTTGGATCAAAGCTTTGGCAAGAAAGATTTAAACTCGCACCAATCAAGAAAGTTCCACCTGCCCTCTTTTCGCGTGGTTTCATCATGGGACAAGGAAGGTTTGGTCGACATGAGCAGGACGAGCAATGTACTAGGTACGGATGGATGAAGTAAAACGGAGGCCCCGCTATCCGCTGATCAATGCCAATATCAAACAGCCTGGCATTTATAGGACCGCCTTTCTCGTAGCTTGTTAGAGGTGACCAACGTTGAAGCTGAGGTGCTCGCTGGATGGTGTGCCATGTGCCCCGAGAAGTCTGCTTTGGGCTTTGAGTTGAGTTGTGCTAACTTGGGCGCCACGACCGGCAGTCGTTCCTTGGTGACGATGGGAACGGCGAGTTGATCAAGTCTAAGGCTAAAGTTCACATACATGTTAAACATTGTTAAACAATTTTAAACAAGGAGCACTCGTACTACTAGTAACCAGAAGCTACTAGGGATGTTAAACAGAACTTGTTTTTATTTTGCCTTCCTTGCATTCCGATGCGATTCGACGATCGAGGTGTGCGGCTGCGTTGCGGCATCGTCCTTTTGCTGCAAGGACGAGAAGAGCTGTGCCCGGCTTTTGTAATTCTTGCGCTGGAAACCGGAAATTGACGCAGACCGGAATCCCAGAATAAGATCCAAAAGAGAGAAGAAATTCAAATTCCAAGATGAAGATGGGCTAGGTTCAGGTTTTCGGCAAAAACAACTCCTGAAAAAGGGGGTTGACAAAGGAAAGGAAGAGTAAAAGGAACGTAAGAGTCCTAGGTCGTGTAGACCCTGGCTATGGCAAATAGTCAGTACATGATTTGGACAGACTTCCTGTTGATATGACTTTTCTGATCCCTCTTGTCATTTCGCTGCAGGAGCTGCCAAGATTTTAAGTGCAACGTGTGTCCTGTGCCACCTTTGGGTCACCACAAGGTTGTAAAGGCTATGTGTGCCCCCGAGGTCGAGCTGCGCTGTAGGTCCAGCGGATCACGACGCGTTGCTGTTGCTGTTGCTGTTGCTGTTGCTGCTGCTGCTGCTGCTGCTGCTGGTGCTGGTGGTGGTGCTGGTGCTGGTGATGGTGATGGTGGCGGTAGAAACAAAAACAGCCGCCCAACATCATTGTCACATGTTGTAACTTTGGAACTTCAAGGGAGCAAGGTTAGGGACACGGGTGAAGGTTTGAGCGAATGTTGGTTTATGTTGGTTTCGTAAGTAGGTGGACTTGTTTCACTGAAGTCTGGTTTTTGTTTCTAGGATGTGGTAGAGGTTCTAAGTAGAAGTTTTACAGATGCTTAGCTGACCGGTCGCCACTACTACTACTACTACTCCTCCTCCTCCACCCTCCTCCTCCTCCTCCTCCTACTACTACTACTACTAACTACTACTAACTACTACTAACTACTACCCCTACTGCTACTGCCACTGCTACTGCTACTCCTACTACTACCACTACAACTACTACTACCACCACTACCACTACTACTACCACTGGTATTACTAGGCTACTACTACTGCTACTGCTAGTACTACTTCTCCTACTGCTACTACTACTACTACTACTACTACTATCATCACCACAACAACGACTACTACTAGTACCAGTACCAGTAGTTCTAGCACTAGCACAAGCACTACCACTACTGGTAAAAGTACTTGTTGGCTGGTTGTTCTCCGGGGGAGGTCTAAAAATCAACAACAGGGCTGCAGATTTTGTTTCCACCCCCTTGTAGAGACAAAGGGCCAAGATATGTTGTAACGGGGCTGCGGTTTTTGCTTGTACCTTGGTGTTGGTGGTCGTGGTGTTGCTCTTGTTTTTGTTCTTGTTCTTGTTGTTGTGGCACAGTCGAGCACACATGCACGGTGCCGACGCCAGAATTCGGAGAGGAAGTTATCTCTCTCTCTCTCTCTCGCGAGTTTGTTTTGCAGCTTCTCGATTCCCAATTGAAATTCAGGGCACAACCGAAGATACCCAAGCGTGCTACAAAAGACAAACATTTGTTTGCAAATGGCACAGTCGTTGTTTCTATGCGGAGGGTGGTCCAAGCCCAAAGGCCTTTCGAAAGGCTCTTGAGTTTCATTTGCCGCGGGATGGCATGAATATATAAGTGGGACACATTCGCTATCAACGCTGTCGCTCTCTTTCTCTCAATACCTCAATGGTCAATGTTTTTGCACTTGGCTCTATTTATGAGAAGACAGTGTCAGTGGCTGGAGCTGCAGCTGAAGTTGCTTGATCCACTGTGAGGAGATGTCCCGCCTATGACCACACACCAGGCATTGATACACCGAGAGTGCTGTTATAGATCTCAGTGTGAGGTGAGAAGGAATGCACGGTCTGTGGGTAGGACAATGTTGGAAAATCGAGTTTCAGATTGGCCTGCTGGGCCTGTCTACAGACGTTTGCAAAATTCATGGCCAGTGCGAGGCTGTGGCATCAGCCGCGGCCCTGCTACGAGAAAATGACCCTGTGAGAGCCGCCAAGGCACTGAACCACGCTGCACCGTTAACTGCAACTCAGACCAAATTGAAGGTTTCAAGGATAAGAGTAAGAGAATGTAAGAGACTTGGCTTGGATCAGGTTTCTGGTCTTCAATCTCAATCGGGTTTGTTTGCTTGGAAGCGGCGGACGGAAGCAGCTCAGGTACATCTCATGGTGAAAGAGCACATCCGACTTTTGGACCGAGATGCCAGGTGGCAATTTCAAGCCATGAATTTCAATCGTGTGTGTTCTGCTTGGGCTTTCTGTAACTTGTGGTCAAGCACTGCAAGCTGGAAGCTTTCAAGTGGAGCTTAATCCTAGGATGCGGATGTGAGCAAGAAGATTCGAAGAGAAGTAGAGGCAATGCGGGTGTACGTTGCTTTATCGATTGCAAATCCACTATGTGTTCTTTTTGTTGTGATGTTTTGATGTTTGTGTTTCTCATGACGATGTCACTCTTTTTTTT